TATATATATATATATATATATATATATATATATATATATATATATATATATATATATATATATATATATATATATATATATATATATATATATATATATATATATAAATTTGTGTGTATAAATAAATGAAATTTGTCTATCATCTGATTGACGTTATATTTAGCACCTCCACTGTAGAGTTTTGTACTTGCGGTCTCATTACGTTGAAAGTTAAGCAACGCCGAACCTGGTCAGTATTTTGATGGGTGACCGCTTGTAAATACTATGTGCTGTAAGCAAGGATGTATGAGTGGTTTAATGGATAAAATCCTGGAATTCTAATTCCAGCTAGGTTGGATATATTGAATTACGCGCAGATAACATTGGGAAAGGCATTAATTCACATCTTCTCCTCAGCCCTGGATTAATTCGTTAATCTTATATCACTAAATCATTATTATCATTATTAAACTGAATACCGTTGCCATATTTGGTCTGGTGATTCTGTTGTACATCTTGAGATTCTTGACAAATTCCAAAGAAGTATCTGCAATGTAATCGATTGTAACCAGACATCTCGATTTCAGTCACATTCTTACCGACGTGCCGTAGCTTCCCTCTGTCTTTTCTACGAATATTTTCATGCCAACTGCTCCAACGATATTTTTTCCTCCTGGTACTACATGAATTTAAGCGTACTACGGGATTGGCATATTGTTTTAAATAATAGTTTAGCATACTAATATTTATCAGACTTCCTGGGGTTGGCTTTTGAGGTCAGATACAAGACAAAATAAAGGAAGTCGATGTTGGCTGAACAATCCTAGGAATGACAAAGGTATAGAAAATTCTTTTTTAGGGAGTCGAGTCTGAACCGTCAATGTAAACGTGCTTGCTCATTGTGTCTGGAAACCGCTTCTGAGTGGAAGGAGAGCAACCCCACCGGAGAGTTAGAAGATGGAGAATTCGATCTTAATAAAATATTTAAGTTAAAATTCCTTGTGTTTAAGTTCTTTTATCTCCAAACCAAAACCGACTAGCGGTCACCGGCCGGGAAAAAACGAATGAGGAGAGATGATGCAACATTGTTTTAATTTGTACAGTAACCAAAAGACCTCCCAGCATGAGGGAGCAATACAACACTAGATCTCACCCGTTCACTTTTGAAATAGCTAAAAGCAACCACCAATTCTACTCCAACACTTGTTTTCTCGCATTTCCCACCTGTGGAATGCCATTCCCTTTTCTTGCTTCCTTGATAACTACAATCTTCAAAAATTTAATTTCACCATCAATCGCCATCTTTTGTCTTCTTGAATTCCATTCATCTTTTCTCCCTGCCGCAGTCCTCCCTATTCTCCGTCTTCTCATTAACTTTCACTCCCTGTATGCACCCCCACTCTGTATACTAGTGGCATTACCGTCTCCTTTGGGGTGAAATGATAAAAAAAATATCAATTAATCAATCATCTGGGACATGTGTCTGGCTAATCTACGCTTTGTAATTATCTTCCCCAAGGCTTATTTTCTTGTCTGGACCGCCAAATAAGCATATGATTCTAATTTAATGCACATTTGCCTCGACTGGAGACCAATGCAATGATAACTTGCAGCAGAATTGCAGTTTCTGTCCGATTAGCCCTCCTCTTTTACGGCGTGCAAATTGGCCGTTGATTTGCCCTCCAAGATCGTTTTCTGTTTCGTATCTTAGAATGATCGATTGTGTTCATACCGGTGGGGAGGGCGTCTAGAACCAACTGAATCTATTGCCCATCTCCACCTACCGTCTTATTAGAAGGAATGAAGCCGTTCTCCCAGAACCGAATTAGAACAAATGAAGCCATTCTCTTAGTTTACAAAAGCAGCAGTTTATTCTGAATGACATTCTCGTATCACGTGACATTCAGGAATCGATTTACCGGTATTTGGAGATTCCAACTCTGCTTGAGAAACGCGCTGCCTCCGAAAACAACATGTTCGCCAGTGTACAAGGAAGTAAAGTAAATCGCTATATTTTTTTTTCTTACACTGGTAAGAAAAGAAAACTAAAGCGATAAAGAAGAGAAATATAATACCGTGATTAACAGTAGGTTTAAATGAATTCAAAATATTTATAAATAAATACAGTTCCTTGCATTTATGGATGTTGGCTGAAAAAGTTCATAAGCCTACGAAAATACTCTCATGGAATGTGAGCAAATTAGGTTTATTTTTCAATAAAATTCCGTTTTCGTTCCACACACCTCCTCCATCTGTGTTGTAATGATTGGATCCCATTGATGAAGAAGCTTTTATCCTGCTCGTTAAAAATGTAGCAACTTCACATATGACGTCAATATCACTGTTTTACTGGTTCCCAGTCAAATGTCTTTGTCCTGTTTGGGAACAGATGATGGGGCGAAATCAGGAGAATACGGAGAGTGATCAACTATTTCAAAGTTATAGTCAAACACATCAACCATAGAAACCAAGAATTTCTATGCTGGATCATTGTCCAGATGAAATAAGTCCCTATTCGTCAGTTTTCCTGGTGTTTTGATCTTTATAGCCTTTCGTAAGTCCTTCAGCAACATGACAATATTTACAATTGATGTTGTAGCCCTTTTCAAGATATTCAATAAACACAATGCCTTTTGCATCTCCAAAATCTGAGGTGTTGATCTTTTCTGCAGAAAAAATACAACTTTCTTTAGAGCAGGTGATGAAGACCATTTCCACTGCATGGATTGTCTTTTTGTCTCAGACTCAAAGTGATGTAACTGTTTAATGGATATTGGCTCAGAATGAAACCTCGGAGAGACGAGTTCGAATCCTAGTCGAGTTCGTTATATTCATTTACGCACAAATACACAAAGGAAGGCGTTCATTTCTCCTTCACCTCCCCCCCCCGCCAGCTAGGGCTTGAATAAAACAGACTGGGTTCTTTAGCTTTAGTTGGCAACCGATTTACCGCAGAAATTTACTACGGGAAAAATCTTCTGCCTCGTCAGTCATGCATCGAAACATCCATGATCGCCCAAGAATGTATCATGTGCATCACTTAACTGACGTACTGTCAGTGCAATCATCGTCGATCTCATATTAATTCAGAAATGATGATAAATGGAATCGTTTCTGAAAATAAAACGAAAAAAATTTTCTAAATTAAAAACGAAAAAAAAAAAAATGTATTTATTCCTTATCTTCGACAGCCCTAAAATATTCTATATGACGACGAGCGAAATAATAGATCTTTTTATTTCTACCTTCAATGTCCGGAGATGTATAAACTATTTATATAAAAAAGACACATGTGTGCAATTGCAGAAGAAGTTGGCATTAAGTATTGAATATACGGTGTATATCTCTGGATCTCTTTCTTTGCAGATTGCCAACGTGTTCAACAGATGTTTTTTGTGGCTTAGCAAGGGCTTGTTAGAGTCCAGGGATGGCGACATTTCCATTTCAATAAAGATTACAGATGTAAAAATAATTTCATTTTCAATAAATGTTACCAGTGGAGCAGATTAAAAAAGGAAACATTGGTATACCATATTTTTTTTTGTGTAATACAACTCTGAATTTTTTTCTGAAGCTAAAAGCAAGGCAATAATCATATACTTCCTTATAATACCACCTGTTGTACAGCCATCTCTGTGTAAATTTCTTTTGGAAAGTTGTAATATATTATCCATTATAATTCCAATGTCATACATATATTTCGCTATAATATTTTATTTTTCAGGACATTATCTTTTGAGCCCTGTCATCTTGAACATTTTTAAACGTTCTGCCTGATCCGCGATTCAAAATTCGCAACTAATTGGTATGTAATGTTTCGCGGTAGACCTAAAAATAGTTACAAGTGTTTACCCTAACTTCAACCGGTAGCTGGGCATTACGTCATTTTTCTCTACCACTGTTCAACCGGTGACTGGGCATTACGCCATTTTTCTCTACTACCGGTAAATCGGTGGTCATGCTTAAAAGGTTAAAGAATAAAAACGAAACAGATGATAAACCATGGCGTGTTTCTTCACCTAATTTCCGTTTCAAAACTTATTTTCGAATTTTTAGGGAAAGGTGATTTGCTGTAACATTAATGTTATCAAAACATGACCTTATTAATTTTTTAAATCAATTTCGCTGAATTTCCTGTGCTTGAGACAAAAAGATGTTCAATTACGCTGATTCCCAAAGAACAAATATTGCGACAAATACATCTTGTAAACAATTGTTATCAACACCTGCTATTTTGTGTTATATTATCTGTTAAGCTAAGTGAGTGTGTTTGCAATCTTACTCTTTCAAATAAGCTTCTTTTAAGCCGTGTAAAAGATTTGGAAAGCGTATACATGTATATAATAAAGCCCCTTGTTTGTCTATAATTTTTGTTCATTGTTTCTTGTGTAATGCACAACAAAACACGACATATGCTTTCTTTCTTTGATACTTCCTAAAAGCCATCTATATCATTCTCAGGGAGGTGAGTGAACACGTTATGGCTGCATTAATATCAGGAAATGCATTTTCTTTCTTAGGAAAACACGAGTACAAATGAAGAAGATTACATAAGTACTGAAAAGGAATAGACAAAGAGATTAAAGAACTTTTCATAGAGTTAATCTAGTCTTCTTTTGTTCCTTTGTGTGTCGAGTCGCTTCAATGCGTAGGCGATCACGGTCTTCCACATCTTCCTCTCCCTTGGGGCTTTTAATAAATGTTGTTTTTTGGGGGTTTTTTTTGTTATTTCTACTAAACCCTATCTACCATCCATTTACGCAAGTTCATCAAGTAGGTACGCCCTGCTTTCCTCTGTCACACTTTCCCTCTATCCGCCCTGTGAGTATCAGATTTTCCAAGCCCTTCTTCCTCATTACGTGCCCCAAATGTTTCACGTACCTATTCCTGATGTTAAGTAGAAATTTTCTTCTTGTTTTCATTTTCTCCAAAATTCACATCTTCGTTTCAGTCGAGGAATACATATTTTCGTTTTCAATACATATCCCTCCACGATTTGTCATCTCTCATCGTACAACTTTTGGCTATATCACGTTGAAACACCGGTTCTCGTACGATCACCGAAGTTAAGCAAGATCGAATCTGGTCAGTACCTAAATGGGTGAACGCTTGAAAAGACCTGATGCTGTAAGTTTGGATGTGTGACTGGTATAATGGATTAAGGTTCTGAAATGGAATTCAGAGAGCCGTGTACTAATTTCACTTGGCTTTTTTTCTATTCACTTACGAACAAAATACACTTGGGAAAGCTATGAATCTATCTCTCTGGTCTGCTAACCCCACGAGCCCACTATGAGTTAAGTTTTAGAACTTTCATTAGTTAATCAGTATTTTGTCCAAAAGTATCTAACAATCCAAAAATATTTTCTGGTTTTAAAAAGGTTGATAAAAAAGCAATCAAGCAATCAAACTCTTATACGCCAAATATCTTAGCTCGCTTCCTATTTGATTTGTACAAACTAAAACTCATCAATTTAGAAGCCGTTCTGTGAATCTCAGCTAATTTGTTAATTATCGTGTATAAATTATTTTTTTTTATTATAGCAATAGCTTTTTGATTAATTATTGGCCTATATCTTCAACTCAAATGGGCGGTCCTTGGCTCCCAAGAGAATAATTACTAACTACAGAGAATGAATAAGAGCTAGGAAAGAAATTAGAAAGCAGTTTTAGTAATATGTACGCCATAATTGTAATATTTAATACAAACTGAGAACTCCGAATAGAGGAGAGACTGAGACATCATAGGATTGCAATGGAAGCAATGTTGCCTGTGTTAAACCAAATAACTTAAATATACTTCATTTGTGTGGGAAAATTAAGATCTATGTGGCAAAAATAGTAATTATTTTCATTCTCATTTTATTTCCAGGAAATTATACCTCATTTATTTGGCTAACTGTTCATTCAATACAAGACCAAAGAACCACTCAAGGTAGAGGCTTAATGAATACGATTGTTGCATGGACATAGAATGGGTAAACAAGTGCATATTATTTGGATATGTAGGCTAAAGTATCGGTCGCCAACCTTTTGAACTTTATGGACTACTTAATGTATAATTTAAATTTGGCGGACCACTAATATGTATTTAGAATAAAAAGCTAAATACATTTATATAATAATAATAATAATAATCGGAAAACTTTTATTAATATGAAATGCACCCATTAAAGATAACAAAGTTATAGTGTAATTATTTAAATAAAACAAATTGAAAATTGGAAGTTTATTGAAGCACTGCACATTTTTAGTGTGATATTTATTTCATTAAACTGTTCACTAAAAAGTTTTTTTTAAAAATATTTTTCAAAATTACTTTTCAAGTACGAATGCTTATGAATTAGCATCTGGTGTATAAGTCAATTCTTGAAGATCCCGCTATTATTCCGTTGCTATGGCATGTTTGTAGAAAATTATACTAGTAAACCAACAAGTAACTAGTTATCAACAGTAATAGTAAGTAACTATTTAGTACTGAACATGACTTTGCAAGTCATATTAGGTTATACTATGGCTGCTATTACATTTGTCTACTTCTGTACTTGTTTTTATTTTGTGATTACATAAGCACTTGAACGTATATACCATCCATAATATGTTTTGTTACTTGTTATTTTTTTTAATTTGAAGCCTCATAAAAATTGAAATAATGTCTCAATTTTTCTGTGGAGCATCACATATTTTCCTCGGACCACCAGTGGTTCGTGGACCACCAGTTGGCGACCACTGAGCTAGATAACAGTTTGCTCGAAACTTGAAGATTATAGTAATCAAGAACCACCCTCTCGGGAGTCTGCTGCACAAAGTTGCAGGAAGACGCTGTTCGGATGATACTTCCTATGATGATTTGACCTTGTGTATGAGGCAAGTCGGGGCTTAGGTGTAAAGGTCTAAACTGGTAAATTTAAGATATGTCCATCTGAACATTTGCTATGGAAATAGCGCTAAACTCAGTGGGAAAGGGATGATAGGGTTGAAGATTAAGGCTGAAGTTTATTCGTCACCAACAAGGACGGGTAAATGATTTCTTTTGCTTTCTTCTGAACCATTTACTTCGGGGTTGTTGTTGTTTTAATTGCTCTCATTTGTCAGTCGTCTGACGATGTCTGTAAACTTCTATTAATGTTGGAATTAGCAATTTATTCAATTTACTTGGTTTTGTCATTCTCATAATCATACTTTTCATGACCCGCTCCCTCTCTTCTTTTGGCATGCCAAACGAAATACTTTATTAAAAGACGCTAACATTTGTCCTTCCCATTTCTTTGTCAAATCCAATGTCTTTCCAAGAAACAGTCATATGGAACTCCTTATTAAATTCAATGGAAATTTTTGTCCTTATTCCCTTGTCATGTTGGACGTCTTTCCTTTTTAATTCTGAATTCTATCCAATATGATTTGTCATTCTTATTCCGTAACCTGTCATGTATGATGTCTTGGGGTTGTCGAACGGAAACCTTTTTCCAATCCATTGAGAGTAGACCTTCATATTCCCTTAACTATCATGTCCGGTGTCATTTCATGGTGGGTGGGGTGTTGTATTGGTAACGATTGATTCTTTCTAATATAGCCGATCAGCCCCACTACAATGCCAGTCTATTTTCCGACAATACCTGAACCAGGTACTGTAAACAAAACTTTCGGATAAACAGTTTGGTTTTTACTAATATATTCGCTACAAGAGTTATTTATAAAGACCCAGGTTAAATCCCTAACCTTGTGTGGTCGGGTTTTCTTAATCTGTTTCCCATCTTCAATTGTCATCTCGTAATATTTCCACACATATTTTTATAGGTTTTCATAAATGAGAGAGGAATGACCTGGAAAAATGATTTTACCAAGTGTTCCAATAATTAGGACTAAAGTTAAACCCTTCCAAAACATAAATTATGATCTGGAATTGGAATGGAAACAGTGATGACACTTACGCTGAATCCAACTTAATAATTCATGATGTGGAATTAATAAATATTTAACTCTTCAAATACAGTAGGGTATGGATCAGTTATAATAAACTTAGTATAGAAGATAAGCGAATTGAACAAAGAATAGGTTGTGCTCGGTGCAGTTTCAGACAATACAACAGTTTGCTCAAAAAACCCAAACCATAAAAACAGTATTATCTTTAATTGCCTGATTAAATCAAGACCTTGATATGAATGCTACGCAGGGCACGTGAAAGAGGAGTTTCGATTATGATAGTCCAAAAAGCACTGAAAAAGACTTGAAAATGAAATCGTACGTGAAACATGTGAGGCATCATGTTAATCCAGCACATAGGTTAAAAAGGGCGAAAATCATCTTGAATAATATATATATATATATATATATATATATATATATATATTTGAAATTTATATACATCTTTGATGATTTTCCGATCCTTATCTATGATTAATTAGTGATAAACACATCATTTTCATTTAGGATCGATTTCATCACGATTCTTCTGCTAAACTGGGGGAGTAATCATACATTTGTTGCTCAAAGTCGAGCCCAGTAGGGTTATAAAAGCTTCGGAGAATTCCAGCAAGATAACTTTAATCATTTCCAAGATACAACGGTACAAAGCTTAATTAATCTAATAATTGGACAATATTCTTGTTGTACCTCGTATACACACACACACACACACACACACATATATATATATATATATATATATATATATATATATATATATATATATATATATATATATATCAGTGAGAGGTTTTGGATCCATCAGGAAACACCTCTGTTTTTTGTGGCTGCAGTACATGGTGTGCTTCTTCAAACCTAAAGGCTTACGGGGCTGGTGTTCTGATATATATATATTTATGTAATATCCTTGAGGATGCTATCTGTATAACTTAGCGAAAATTTATAATTCCTATATATATATATATATATATATATATATATATATATATATATATATATATATTCTGTCTATCAAATTGATCCCAGTCGAGACCATAGTGTCATTTTGAACTCTGCGATCTTTTCATTACATACATATTATTTAGTTTCAATCTCATACTTTAATCTATCGATTCTTTGTCGAACTGGAAAAAGAAAAGAAAACACCTCTAGCTGTGTGATAAAACCAAATTTTATTTGAAGTTTCGCCCCCAGTTGTATTTCAATGTTACTCTTGCTTTCCGGGCATAAATTTTATGAAATTTTCACGAGATTATATGATTATATTAATTTATTTTATTTTTCATGCTGCCTGTCAAATAACATAAATCGGAAATATATATTACTACTAGTTGGCTCGGTGTCGTCAAAAAATGGTGGCACTAATTTTACAATTATATTGGCCATACTTTATGAGTAGGTAGAGTATGATTTGTTATCTCTGCACATCTGCTGTCGTGTATAATAAATATTTCCGCTTTTTAAATGATTAGCATAAGAGTAATTTCTGAAAAAGCTGGAAAACTCTATGTAAAGAGAAATATCACGACATGTTTATTTCACTTTTATGTGTTAGTTTCTCTTACGTTCTCGTTATACGTGGTAACATCGTGAAAATACGTCTTTGCCTTTTTACTTAGTTAATATTAATAACATAGACCTTATATATACATACACTTATCATAAAAATATGACAGGAATTTTGGTTTTACTTTTTAAATTAGTTTTTTTTAGGATATCGATCTCTACAAATAATTCTATTGTTGTATGTAAGATTGATTATGAAATGATTGCGAAAAGTCGTTGGTTCGATCCAGTAACTAGACATAAAGAGTTGTGAGTTCAAAACCAGGTCACAGCAGTGGTGAACCAAAACTCGGAGCGTTAAGTTAAAAGGAAATAACTGAGACAACCGGAAGAGGTATGATATGTGGAACTAAAACAATCTACCGCGGTGGACAAAATAAAGAGTTCGGTTCGAAATTCAATTCCTTGAAGAAGGCTATAGCGTAGAACTTTCGAAATGTTGTGAACATGTCAATGAAGATGATGATAACAGTCCGAGTCATGTAAATAATGCAAGTAATCATAATACCTCACCTTAATCATATAAACATATAAGGACGAAAGGCTAAATATTATTCTTTCCACTTGTAAAGAAAGTAATCAAGAAAGGCCATCCTCATATCTCTATGAAGATTTATTTTTTCTTTTAAGTTTCCTTTT